AAAAAAAACGTAAAGAGCAGTGCATACAGCATTTGTAAAAAGGCTTATTTATCTGGTAAGCAAAAAGGCAAGAGCCATTGACTTAAAGCGATTGCGTTTTCTTTCTTGCCTGACTGCAGCGGGGAGCTGGTTCCATAAGATGGTCCCAGCATAGGTAACACGTTTGGCAAGGTATGCAGTTGGGCTGGCTGGGACAATCAGTAAATTGCTGTGCGCACCACGAGTTTGAGTGGAATTACTGCGGCTGAAAAAGTTAGCGAACAACATACTGATGTTAGAGGAGTCATGGAGACAACGCCAGATAAAAACCAAAAGGTGCATGTTGGCGTATGTGGTCAATGTTTGGATGTTCATGCCTGTAAGAATATTGCTTGTGGGTGTCCCCGGAGGTACGCTGCAGACTGTGCGTACAGCACGCTTGAAGAGCCCATTAAGCCGTCGACTTTGATACGCCGTGAGAAATGGTAAGTAAGCAGAAGCAGCATACATAAAGTGTGATAAAATGAAAGAACGAAAATAGGCTATGCGACATTGAAAAGGCAGGAATGTAGCGTATCGTCCGAGCACGCCAACGTTGACGCGACGCCCCTTGCGACGTGGTCGACCATGGTGTTCCAGCTCATGTCCGCATCAAAGTGGAGACCTAAATATTTCGCAGAGCGAACAGTTGGCAGAGGCAGTCCATTACATTGCACTTGCAAGTCAAATGTTTGGGATCGTACTGGCGATATCGGCATGATCTGTGTCTTCGTTTCATTCAAGATGAGACCGCGGTTCCTCAGCCAATCGGCGAGGTGCTGGACAGCACTTGAGAGATTTTGGGACACCTCATCCGTGCTCATGCCGCTAGATCTAATTGAGATATCGTCCGCAAATTGCAGGGTCGCAACTTTGTAAGGGGACAGCTCTTTCGCAATGTCACGGACGTAGAGAACAAAAAACAGAGGCCCGATAACTGACCCCTACGGTACTCCGGAGAAGCTGGTGTATGGTGAGCTCTGTACCTGACCAACTTTGACATACTGTGTCCGATCTGAGAGGTAGTCTGCAAGCCATTGCAGCACCGTTCCAACCGATTCCGACCTCGAATAGGTCCTGAATAAGGGTTTGGTGCTTCACCTTATCAAATGCTTTTGACATATCTACGAAAGCAATCCCCGTGAAGTACTTTTTTTGTCTGGGCTTGGCATGTGCCCTCAACGGCTAATACAAGGGCATCACATGTGGAATGATGTTAGCGATAGCCGAACTGAGTTGGTGGAAAAAGATCATGTCGGCACAAGTACTGAGTGAGCTGATCATGGATGACTCGTTCCAAAAGCTTTGAAACTATCGACATTAGAGACACGGGTCTGTGATTCTTTGCTATGCTTGGATCTCCACCTTTAAACAGAGGTGCAATGCTGGCCACCTTCATAGAAGCTGGGAAATGTCCCTCCCTCATGGATTTGTTGAACAGTAAGGCCAATGACGGCGCAAGAACATCTGCATGAGCTCGAAGAAGGGCTGCAGGGATGCCGTCACTGCCAGTTGCCTTCGTCGGATTCTGTTGCTCTAGAAGCTTCCGGACTTTTGCAATAGATACAGGAACAAATTCCACAAAACTAGTTGCCGTCCGTGGCCCTTGGGGTAGGTGAAGATGAACTGGGCGGCTGGGATCTTCCACGATCTTGGCGAAAGCACTTCGAATTGCCTCAGCTGAGCACTGAAGCTGTTCCGATTTTCTTTGTTTCCCCGTCAACTGGTTGATGATTCGCCAGGTTTGTTTTGCATAACAAGTTGCAAGCTGAAATTTTGTACTGTAGTACGCTTCTTTCAGCTTCCGGTTACAGGTAGTGGCCTCCCTTCTCGCCGCTTTGAATGTGGCGTACATTTGCTCAGATCTGTCTGACAGCCACTTTCTATGAAGCCGGTTGCGCTTACTCAAAAGGTGCAAGAGCTGGCTGTTCATCCACGGTACCGATCGTCGCTTGTGTTGCTTACAAGATCTAAGAGTTGCATGAGTGTCAAGCACCTGCAGGAAGCGATTATTCCACTCCGTACACATGTCTGTTGGGTTGCCTTCGATGCTGCAAAGATTCTGCTGAATCAAGTCAGCTTTGAAGCGTTCATGATTTATCCTGCGGTAGTGCCGGCACACCATTGATTGCCACATTGTGCTGGTCAAACGTATTGAAGAACAGATCCAATGTGGTGGCTATGGAATTAGATGCAAACCGTGTCCGCTGATGAACGCCCTGGTGGAGACTGTAGCTTGCCGTAAGATCAGACAGGAAGTGGAGCTGGTGATCTGGAGCCGTTGATGGATCCACATTCACATTTAAGTCACCGCACAGTATAACGTTCCTGCCCGGAGGGATAGCTGAGTGTAGAAGACTATCAAGGCGATTCCAGTAGCCAATAGGTTCCGAGGGAGGACGATAGATTGTGCCTATCAAGCAACTCCCACCAGTGCAGGGGATCTCGCCCCAACAACTCTCAACCCCAGCAGCAGCTATATCGCATCTCGGCTTGAGAGGCAAGCATGTTCGGGAATATAAGCAGACACCTCCACCAACTTGATCCTCTCGATCAGCACGCAAAATGTTGTACCCTGCCAAAGTGATTTCTCCATCAGTAATCGTACTATCCAGCCATGTCTCGTTCACACAGACAACATCAGGACAATGCTGGCGGGTGAGTTGTGCCAGGTCATTAATCTTGTTTCCAAGGCTCCTGATGTTTATTAGTAGAACTTTCAGCTTACCGTCACCACTCAGTCCTCCCCTGTCTCTGAATGGTGCTTTCGGATGGCACAATCTACCCGGAAAGAAAGTTGGAGCATGCGCATTCAGTTTCGAGGTGTTCATTGCGCCTCTGCCTGGTCGGACCTGAAGCGCCAGTCACGGAGAGTGTATGCAACAGTTTCAGGCCAGAAAGACTTTTCACTAACTTTGTTCACGTCCTGAGCGTCAACTGTTATTCTCGCGGAAGCCGTTCTGAAGTATTTAGAAGAGTATATAATACATTGCACTATCTCCACGTCCCGATCTCTGCACCATTCAGCGATGGACTGTGCCTGGCAACCATACGGGATTTGCCCCAGGTAGAGAACTTTCCGCGGGCCTCTGGGGACGGTGTCTAACGAAGGCGTCGGGTTGCTATCGGACGTACGTTCCCGGATGTAACGTGAAGACTCGTGGCGGCGGATGGGATTTGTCTGCGCTTTGCAACTGCCAATCTGCCGTTCCGCAGGACTTGTAGCCTCTTCCGTCCCGGAAGGTTCTGATGCTAGCCGCCTCTTGAAGCGTTGACGCTCCTTCCTGGACATGACATCCTCGAAGGGCGCCTGATCAACCGATATGTCTATTGGAAGATCAATAGGGGCAGTATCTCTAGATATGGCCTGTGAATACAACTCCTTGGGTTCATTCCTGGGAACGTCTTCAAATACTGATCATTCACCTCGGGATGTGGCATGTAGGTCTCTTTATGCTCTTTCAATCTTCGAATAGCTCGCCAGGGGAGCAGTCATCTGCGGCCGGGCATGCTTGTGCTGTTTCCCGCCACTGGCCCTCTCCAAGTCGCCTACTCTGTCAGAGAGAGATGCCAGCTCCCGCTTCACAATCGCTTCAACCCCTCGTAAGGGGATTCCCTTCTCCTCTGTAGCCTTTATCTCCCGCCCCCCGTCGTCTCTCAGCGCTGCCAACTCGTCACTGATGCTAGCGACAATCCCCATCATCTCATCCAAACGCTCAACAACCCCAGCAGCTGATGAGTGTAACACACCCACACCAGCCTCGCGAAGTTTCCCGACCACCTCCGCGCGAGCCATACTGTCCAGGCCATCAATGCTATGCCGTCGAGCTAAACCTCGCAGTTCCTCGAAAGTGAGAATGGCTAAGTCTACGACGTCACCCAGGCTCATCCTGCACCAGATTACCGCAGACACGGCCGCAGCAAGTCTCGAAAATAGCGTCGTAAAGACAAGCCAGCAGTGTGAACAGAGGCGCGAGCACTCCACTCCAGCACGTGATCCAGCGCGTGATGCAGCGATGCAGCGATGTACGTAATCCAGTTAAACGCAACGCACAACCCAGCCCTAGCGCTAAGGATTAGACCAGACCTGGACCAGGACTTCATCCAATGGCAGGACACTGCCAACTCAGCCAACCTGAAGATATAACGGCAACCCCAGCCAGCTCCAGACCAAACAGCAACCAAGCAACTCAGCAGCCAAGCAAGCTTCTTCCTCCAACCAGAGCATCCGAAAGTCCAACCAGCACCTAGCTCAACGTGAGAAAAAACATACCTACGCATGCTGATGCATCAATGAACGTTAAACACCTTGAAGTAGCGAATAAAATTCCCTTCAACTCCCATTTGGAGCGAACCTAGTCGAATGTTGTAAAATCCATTTCATCCCTAGGCACTACTACTTGTTCTTGCGTCGAGGACCTAAGTCTATTGCCCAAGTAGTTTCTGGTCAGGGCTGTCTAGACTAGGGAGTAGGGGCCCAAGTCTTGGAACCTGCTTGGCATGGCTAGAGCAGAATCAACAAGTTTCAGACGTAACCAAAGGTCACGAGGTGGCCTGTTCACAAGGAAATACGAATACTGTTCTTTGGTGCAAACATAGCTCCATCCAGCTACGAACGTCTTCTTCCTTTGTCATGTCTTTGCTTGAGAACGTTTACCAGTCATAGGCACCAAAGAATATTAGCTCCTGATGTCTCCTTTCCTGAACGGATAGAGCTCAAACAAACCAACAAACAGCCTTCTTGTCGAGATTTGAATTTTACTTCTGGCCGGCCTGCTCTGAGCCTGACCCGCGACCTGATTTCTGCGATCACCGTTTTTCTAGTCGGCCGTGCGCCTCATAGATTTTTGTATGACGTAAAATATGCGCGAACACGCTGCGCACTGCGTTCTCTGTTATCCCTTCTTTTTTACCAACAGACCAACGCTGGTAATGCACTTGTTAACATTATCATGCTCTGGCCTCTTTTTCTGTATTTGCAG